GGGATGATTTCTTTTACAAAGTTCGTGATCGATCAGACTCAACTACAACATTAACTACAGTATTTAGAATTCAATCTGTCCTCGTAAAGATCTAACGACTAAGAGTCTGGGTCTAAACTTAGACTAGATTAGTTCACCGGAAACGATTTTACCACTAACATGATGTTTACAAGAAATGAAGCACATATACGCAAATTATTCAACATTTGACCGAAATGAAGTCAAACGACAAACGACGAGGTTTAGCCATAAAATTGCAGAAAAAAGTGCCCCCAGTTGGCATGGAATTGCAAATATATGCAGACTTCGCACCAACAGGATATTCATAATGGGAGAAAGCCAAAGGTTCAGCACATTTTATCCACATATCGTCATATGCAAAATCAAGTGCGAAACGGGTTTCCCCCGAAATTCAAATGAGACGAAAATTCAGATCAGTCCAGGGCGGCCATTTTGTTCATTTCACTGCACACCGAGTTTGATCACAAAACTACACTAGAACTCATAGAATGCCCCTCAAATATGGTTAGTACAGAGAGCACATGATTACACGTCTGATACGTACCGCCATCTTGACCAAAAGACCGAAACTGGTGATGTAATCAGCTGTCAACAACTCAGATGAAATTTCAGCCCGCCGCCCGCGAAAACGTCGTCCTTAGCAACGGCGTTGCTATGGACGCCGGAGTGATATCCTCTGCAAAGAAAACTCGTTCGAAAAGCGTTCGATTCAGTACGTGGCTTTCCGGCTGGATCGTATCTGTTGGTCTTCGAACGTTCGAACGCATCTGTTGGTCTTAACTTTGAATGTTTCATTCTGTGACCAAACATCCGTACAAGCAGTCACGCCGGGACCGTCGGAGTGTGCAGGAGACCCTAGACAATACTATAATACCGTAAGTAGAGTGTTTATTGTTTAGACATATCAAGCATGCTTCTCATTTTTAACTGCGGTAACTTTAGTCGTATGTTGTCGTACGATTTTGATGTCGTAGGATTTCTAAATAGACTGTGAGAAAAACGCCCGCCGACAAGAATGTAAAACAACCTTTTTCGTTGCAAGACACTTTTTCTACCGTGTACACACGACTAGCCCAATGAATGATTCCCTAGTCTGCGATCGTTTGACGATTGTACGACTATTGTGACCGGGAGCATTCTTAGAACTTTTCTGATGCCATTTTGTAACTTTGAACAGCTTTCGGTGCCCACTGAAATATGGCAATGTTATGTGTGTAATTTACAGACCGTTAAAACATTCTTCACGGTAGAATCGTTTAAAGACTGAAAACAGGTTTGATCAGAGTAATGAACAGAAAATGATGTTAAAGTTTTGTTTATGTACAAAGTTTTCATTTTGATTTTATCTATAGAACCCCCTGTTATGTTCCATAACGTTATAGAACATACTGTTTGTAACGGCCTGTCTTCGGCAGGTGTTAATTCGAACAGATGTTCTTACTTCACCTGTTCGAACGAATCGTCTCGAATGACACCGTTATGGATTTTGAAGAACGTATCTGTTGTTTTTGAATGTATTAGACCAACGTCTTCACTTGGCGCTTCAGACGACACAGTACAGACACACGGAAACTGTAAGTATATACATACATACACACATACATACATATTATATACTGGTAGCCGCGGCGACTGTTAATTTGCAGGGCTTCTCTTGATTGCAGTCTTTCACATTTAATAGCCCTAAACAACTCTCGGAGCGGTGCATTGGGCCAAATGATCGATCCTCCGTGCCAGAACACTTTGAGACCGAAGTTTTGTACGTCCCTAGATTCCTAACAGCCTTTCTTAGCGTGCCGGTTTTTTTTGGGGCGTCAACCGGCCCCTGCACGAGTCGTGCCGCCACTATTTGCGATCGCTCCCCATGTAAACATAACAGTTGGCCGCCATTTTGATTGGAATCAGTTGCCTGCGAATTTGCCGCTACTTTTCTGATAATGTATTTCTATTGATCAGAAAAGTAGCAGCACATTTGCAAGTAGCTGATTCACAGCGCTGTTGACCAAGATGGCGGCCACTCGGCCTATGAATACATGGGGAGCGATCGCAAATAGTGGCGGTACGAGTCGTGCAGGGGCCGGTTGACGAGCAAAACACCCCGGCACGCTAGGTAAGGCTGTTAGGAATCTAGGAACGTGCAAACGTCTCAAAGTGTTCCGGCACGGAGGATCGCATGTTTGTCAATTTGGCCCAAATGCACCGCTCCGCGACTGTTGACTGTTGCCCTGCAACTGAGTCGCCGCGGCTAACAGTAACTGGATATTCCGACCAACAGTTCTCATTCTCCGGGGCGGCCACATTTGTCGTAGATTTTGATGCCGCGGGATTTTTAAAATAAATACACTGTGATAAAACCAACCGCCGACGTGCGACGATCGTTGGACGAATGTGACCAGACTTTTCTAGTGCCACCTGTCTGATTCAAGAACAGTTTTGATACTCAACATTTTGTCCGCTAGACTACACATACTTTAAAATTGCAATTATTCTACATGTTCGTCAAAAACCTCTATGGTACGTACATCTATGTATAGACAACGTCTTACGTAAAATAGAGAAGCATTTATTTCTTTGCTAGTGCATACTTTTAATAATTTAGGTACATGAATTTAGAATCTAGATACTAGTAGTTTCTTATAATAACAATTATTGTACAATGTGGCAAATGGCTTGAGCATTTCATGTTTTCAGTGAGAATGTGCTGTTAAAACAAGTTTATTGATTTAAGCTCTTTTGGGTTATTTGTGTTTTCTAACACAGAAAGTCACTTCGTATCTTTTGCAACATTGACGAACATACATAGGTATTGTTCTGTTACTAAAACAAGTATGGTGCTACCCCTTGTGTGTTTATCTCCTACAGATGAAGCCTGAGCAGACCAAGAAGTTAGAGGAACTCTGGAATCGGGGCCTTATGAAGGTTGATCCTCACTGCTCCAGGCTGTCTGCCCTGATGGACGAAGCAGTGGGGGTCGGGCTGTCTCCTGCCCAGGTCAAGGTAAGTCGAATTCTTCACTATCGTCATCACGCATCTGCCATCTTTATCTGTGTTTTGTTGCAGTAATATGGTAAATTCTGTTGTGTGAAACAAGTTTGAACTGTCAACATGAAACTTAACCTGGAAGTATCACTAATAAATTATCATTGTATCCACAGACATACATCTACCGCAGGAGGAAGGCTACAGGCGTGACTGACTGGGAGCAGGAGGAAATCGACATGACGGTGCTCATCGTCTCGACCGTGAGTAAAAATAGACTTTTCTGTAACGACTGGATCATCTAGTAAGTACATACGGGTTCAAATTCACTCCAAGTTTGCCAATATGATGTGAGGGAGTGTCTCAACTAAGGAAGTTTTTTTTTACATGTAATTGTATTGCAGTGCCAGAAATTCACTTCTTCACTACTAATTCTTCACTAATTCTTCACTCAAACTGAAAGGGGAGCCTGATGTCGCAACAAGTCTTCTATGGTAGCCTGCTGTCTTGGACGCCGTTATTATATTTCATTCTTATACATGGGTTCTTTTCCCTGACATTTGTTTGTTCTCATCATATCATTTATTCAAATGGACTGAAGATGTAGAGAGAAACTTTCTTGTGTTTGTGCAGCTCGACAAGCTGAGGGCGAGGCGGGGCACCAGCCTCCAGGACGAGGTGGAAACCATAATGGCTTTGACTGGTGAGATGCTGTTCTTAATACCACCATATAAATTTGGTGCCTGTTTTCCTGTTAAATCAGAAAATAGACGCTTACCTACCTTTTGTAATACTGATCTGCCAGGGGGGGGACACCTCGAGCGAAATCCGCCCCCCCCCGGACGTAAGCAGTTTATGTGATCTGTGAAAGTCAAATCAGTCTACTGAGGAATGATTGCGGTACATAAGATATCAATCAACTGAGGAATGATTTCACGATACTTTGTCTCTTTTGTGAAATACTAAATGCAATGCTGATCTTTTTTTTTAAATTCACTCATCAACAGGTCTTCAAAAGACGGGTCCGCAGCCCAGGGCCTGGCCTTCAGAGCCGCAGGCTGACTTCTCCGAATCCCCTCATCTGACACCGCGGCCAGCCGGGCTGGCTATGGCATTTGGTCAAGATGACTGCGGCCAGCTTGGGCTTGGCATCGCGGAAGAAGAGGAGAGGATTCTGCCGACCCCGGTGGTCTTACCCCCTGGTAAAACCATCGTGGACGTGGCCGCCGGCGGTCTGCACTCGGCATTTCTTACTGCCGAGGGAGAAGTTCTGGCTTGCGGCTTGAACGACGAGGGAGAATTGGCCAGGCCCAACGCAGGTGAAGAGGACTGCCGGACGGTGGCCTCCGTGTCCCTTGGCCCACCCATGGTCGCGGCTCAGGTGTCCTGCGGCGACAGTTTTACTGCTGTCCTGGACACCTCGGGCCGCGTGTTCTGGGCAGGGCAGCTGAGGGTGAGTTGCACCACGTGTTTTACTAGCTATAGTTTCTGATGGAGTCCCTTTCCACTGTGCTTGAATACCACGAGCTTTGATATGCACATGTATATTGACAGGGTTGCATGTGTTTCTCTCTCTTTTGTACAGGACGCAGGCGGGGTATTCCACGACATCGGGCCCCGCTTGCAGGAGGTCCCCCTGTGGGCACCAGCGACCAAGATCGCAGCTGGTGCTCACCATCTGGCAGTCCTCGTCGGCAATTCCATCGCCACCTGCGGGTCTGCGGACCGAGGGCAACTTGGCAGGGTCAGGGAGCGACGTGCCCTGAAAAGATCATCTCGGGGTGAGTACCGTGATCTCCTGGGATGCATGATTACACGTGTATTGACTTTCATTCGTACACTGGGTAGATATGTTTATCATCTGCCAGTACAGACGACTTCATGGTCGCATCCCTCACTTTCTGAACCTGTAAATGTGGTGGCTTCTCTTACAACCAAGCAGAAGTTGTGAAATATAATAACGCCTCACTTTCTCCGTGTTTTACTGCAGAGTTGTCCCTGACCGCATCCCCCTGGACCACAGCCTCCCAGTTCATTGACGTCTGCTGCGGTACTTACAGCACCATCGGACTGACCGCAGCAGACGACATCTGGGGCTGTGGGAACAACCACTTGTACCAGCTGGGTAAGTCACTTTATTTTGTCTCAATATCTATCAGTTATTAAATAGAAAATTCCCTGTGTTCATACGAAGATTGAGTGTGAAAAGTAGTCAGAAGCATTGATACACATCTTTTTTTACAACAATAGGAGAGGGCCCACGGACCATCTGGATGTCCCGAAAGTTGGAAGCCCTCTCCCAGAAGAACCTGGTACAAGTGGCCTTGGGGGACGACCACGCTGTTGCCCTCAGCTCCTCGGGTAAGCTCACACTCACTATCTGCCGCTAATTTATCGTTTATTGTTCCATCTCGTGAGAGATAGACGTGCTTGTCGTGTATCGTAAACCTATTGTATGCCGTACACCTGATATCATCAATGTTCAGCTTCCAGGAGTAAAGATAGTTAATATCTATGACCACTGACTGCGACTGCTATCCTTTGTGTATCTATTTTTTTAAAAACGTTCTTGACTGATTGATTTTCTTTCCTGTTTTGGATTATAGGAGCCGTCTTTTGCTGGGGTGACGGCTACAGCGGACAGGCTGGAACGGGAGTCATCTCCAAACAACCTATCGACTCCCCCCGGCCTGTTCCCGGCCTGCCGAATAACATCAGGCAGGTCGCAGCCGGCCCCAGGCAGTCCTTCTGC